ACACTGAAACTCTGAAACACTCTGAAACTCTGAAACACTGAAACACTGAAACACTCTGAAACATTCTGAAACACTCTGAAACACTGAAACACTCTGAAACATTGAAACACTCTGAAACACTGAAACACTGAAACACTCTGAAACACTGAAACACTGAAACACTGAAACACTGAAACACTGAAACACTCTGAAACATTCTTCACATTTATTATGAGGAGCAGTTAACGGTGCAGCTGCTCGCAGCTCATTGGTCGGCTCGGTTGTCACTCCGGTTGTCACTTATTTTGGCCGAACAGCCCCCTCACGCCTCTCATTGGTCCGGGCTCACGTCAATCAGCCGAGCTCCTGCTTTCATTGGGCACCTGTCCGTGCGGGGGTTTAACGCCAGGGAACCGCCCCCGCCGAGCACAACCTCGACACCCCATTGGCCGAACCGTCCCTCATCAAGTGACGCACATGAACACCGCGTTGTGATTGGTCGCCTTGAATCTCAATCACGAAGACGCCCGGAGTCGATTGGCGAGCGCGGCCGTCACTCAGCGCCGAGCCGCCCGCGGATTGGCCGCGCGGCGCTGGCGGGCTCCTCCCCGGGCTCGGCGTTCGAGGCTCGCGGACAGCGAATGTCGTCATGAGCGGTGGGTAGGAATTGAAACATTGGTGTTTATATCTGTTTCTACTGCGATAAACCGGGAATTCACACCGAGCCAGAGCACCGGGCGGTATGTGGCACGACCCGGTGGGTTTACACCGGGACGCGGGCAGTTCCGTGAACCGAAATAAGCCTCGCACTTCCGGGAAGGGGCTGCCTCTTTCTGTAACGTTATCAAAGAGTTTGCAGCTAGCTAAGTGTGTGGCTAACGGTGCTAAGTGTGTGGCTAGCGGTGCTAAAGTAGCTGCTCCGTCTTCACTCCGGAATGCGGACGTGCGTTTCCACCAACCATCCATTACACAGAGACACAGGCTTGTTCCAGGCAGCGGTCCCGGTTCAGTTCGCTGAATGAAGCTGCACACGGACACTGTTAGCTTGAGCTAGCTGCTAGCCGCTCGAGCCAGCTCCGGTGTTAGTCAGTGATGCTAGTTAGCTCCTCTGGCTAACGTTAGCTGCTCCTCCACAGCCAAGGCAGTGTGTGTGTGTGTGTGTTTGATGGCGGCGCTGAGTTTAAGGCCGCGCTGGGTTTTCTCTCCCGTGTTTGGCTCACAGGCGGGACTCGGGACTCGAACACTTTGTGGAAACGTGGAAAAAGTGGGACCCCCGCTGCATCTGCTCTGGAGTCACGCAGCCACGTTTTGTTTATCCTGTAAATGCATGTGAGCCAATAGCAGGTCGAGTGGGCTGAGCAGGTTTTCACACGTTCACAGATCCGTGCGTTTCTCCATCGGGGCAAAGTTCAGTGTTGACACAGAAACGAAACAGCTGATTGATTCTGTTGTGAATGTTCACATGTGAGAGGAGTCACAGAGCTCAGCTTCGTGTTTCTGTCCTGTCAAATCTAACAGCTCCTGATCCAAACAATGGTGTTACCTGGAGAAAGTGAAATCAAAAGGTTTTTGCTGCCACCTCTGCCAATGAGTTTTCACCTCTGTCCGTTTGTTGGTTGGTTTGTAAGAAAGATTACGCAAAAGTTACAGATTACCACGAAAACTTGGCTGAAGGACGCAATATGGGTGAGGGTTAGAACATGTTGAGTTTTGAAGCAGATCTGGATTGGGGGGATGGACCCAGGAATAATTTCTCAGAATAATTCTCGACTCTAGATGAAAAAATCAGGAATGTTTCTCCCAGACTGTCAGAAGAGTCTCTGAGTTTTCTGGAAAAGCCTCGAGATGAAGCTGTTTGTTTGGTTTTGCTTTTTTCCAAAGTGGAATGAAGTTGTGTTGTTAACGAGACGAATGCTTTGCACATCAGCGTGTCTTACAGCTGGAGTGGATCTGTGATGAGCCGGTGCAGCCAGAGCAGTGCTCGGTGTTAGTCACGTGGTTACGTGTCACCTGCTGTTTCATTTCAAGGGTTCGCTGTCTGTTCACACGCCATGAGCCCAACGGATTTTTTGCAAACACAGATATTTCACGTTCAGGAATGATGACAGATGTTGAGTTAAGCCTCAATATTCCCACCAAGCACCAGTGAAGACAAAACTGTACAGCAGACAAAGTGCTCGGAATTAATTTGCACATTTGTCTGATGCACTTGTATTTATTTCAGAATATATATATTTTCAAAACCTGTGATTATATTTTGTGTACAGTCGATTTTTCACATTTTCCGCCCAGAATAGGTCACCAATTGAACTACGCCATATGTGTAAAACTTTCCTTGAGTAATTCCTCATGACATTAACAGCCTCAGCCTATTCTGTGTTTACTGGAGATTTACCCTGCTCTTAAACTATCGGACATCCTGCCCTGACTGTCCTTATGCTGACTGTCTTAATAGAATGTAATATACACAGTAAACTTCCTGTCTTGCCATAATGCATTTGACCGCCGTCCAACATTGTATTTCTTTAGAGAGCATCTGGATCATTGTGTTGTTGGTGCTCAGATGTTTCCAGGACGAAACACAGGAACTCTCAAGTCCACTCAGTTTACTTCATTAGAACCAGTTTACTATGGTTTTTGTTACTTTACACTTTAAATAATGAAGATAAAAAAGAATTACACACAGTTCTACTTTATGCAGTAAAGATCAAAAGCATCAGTAGGTTTTATTTTAAATTCTCTACAACAGACAGGAGCTGCTTTACAGCTGCCTTCAGACATGCACTGAACTCCAGATGATCTCTCCTGGTGTCTCTTTAGTCTTTAACACCTCAGTCACACAAATTCTCCTCATCTGTGGTTAAGATAAAAATGCCGACATCACTATTTGTGAGTTTATGCCGTTATTAGCACAACTAGTGACCTTGTTAGTGTAATAAAGGATGTTTATATATCAGATGTTGACATCGCGGTGCTGTCTCACATCTGTTGTGTAGGAATGTGATGATGTTGAACAGCCTGAATGTGACTGTCCTGTCTGTGTTTTCCAGAACAACAGGACAGTATGGCCACCACTGTTGCTGTCAGTCCCAGTGAATACCTTCAGCCCTCCACCGCTTCCACACAAGTGAGTGACGGCCTGCTGTTGTTCACTGCTTCTCTCTGTCTCTGTCTCTCTCCTGCGTTCTTCACACTCTTTCAACTCATGATACACTCTTGTGCACGCTGCAGCACTGTAGGAACATTTTGGGCCATTGTACCAATTTTTATTTTATTTAACGTGCATTGGTTGATGATTTCAAACATGTAGCCTGATCTGACATATTTACTTCTTTAGCAGTCCACACTAAATACAATAATTGTGACACAACACTAAGTATCTGAGCATTCACGGTTTTGACCTAAATAATCCAAAGTCCACTTACAAGCTTTTTTCACAGGTAACTTCAGCTTCGACTGAAGATGTAATGGAAAACCCATAAAGCGTTTAAGTGGACTAAAAGTCATCTTGGATTTTGGTCACTGGAATATTGTGATAAATGTTAAATTATTCCTCGTAGCGTTTTCCCTTGAAAATTTCCAGAGGGGCTATATGTGAGAACACAAATGTCCGAGTCAGTTGCGTGGCACATTTTCCTGACAGTCCCATTGTAAAGTGTCCGGTAAATGTCCCACTGAGTCCAGGTGAGAGTGCAGCAGAAGAATGTCAAAAAATACAAATACCTCAGGATGAAAAAGAGAATTTGGTGATAAGGACAGAAGCCGGTGTGGATGTGTTGAACGGGTTCGACCCGGACAATCTCCTGCTGCGTTTCTTATGAGAGAAAGACAAACTCTGGGAAGTGTCAGGGCACAATTTTCCTGGCATTTATCGAGTTGATGTCTGGAGCAACTGACTCGGACAATTGATAATTTAAGGAGGAGGTATCCAGAGTTCAGTAAATGTCATGTCTGTATCACGTTCTTGGTGATGGCCCAGGTACATGAAGTTGTCCAGTGTAGATAAAGTGTTTGAAAATAGCTGAAGCTGACATTCACGTAGAATGCTTCCTTGTCCTGCAGCTTGAGGATCACACACATGGACGACAGAGGGACACAAAAGCTTTGCAGGTGGAAACTCACATCTGCAACACCACAGCTAATGACACAGTTAATGACACTGCATGTGCTTCTCATCGGTCACCATCACATTATCTCTCTCTCGGCGTTGACCTGTTTCTGCTCAGGTCGGTTTAAATGCCGACTGTGTGAGTTGCATCTGAGTTGTGTGATTGTGTATCTGCCTGCAGGACACCCAGCCCTCTCCTCTGGCCCTCCTGGCTGCAACCTGTAGTAAAATCGGCCCTCCTGCTGCTCAGGCTCCCGTCACATCTCCCCCAGCGCAGCCACAGCCTCGCAGGCTCCTCCCTATAAAGCCAGCTCCGATCGCCCCCGCTCCGCCCAAAAACCTGGGTTTTCTATCAACCAAGGGCAATGTTATCCAGCTCCCTGCCGGCCTGGGCTCCACGGCCCCCGGGAGCCCCATCGTCCTCACTATCCAGCAGAGCCCGGCTCGCAGCAACACTTCGGCCCCCGCCAACATCCAGTACCAGGTGGTGCCCCAGATGCAGGGGCCCCAGACTATTCAGATGATGCCGCAGGGTGGTCAGATCCAGCTCATACCAGGCACCAACCAGGCCATCATCACCACTCCAATGACTGTACCGGCCCCCGCGGCTGCCACCGCTCCGGTCACGCCACAGAAGACTGTGGCCATCAAGCCCTCGCCTAAGTTGCGTAAGCCGAACAACTCTGCTGGAAATATGGTGCAGCTGCCCGGCGGGCTCACGCTGCCGCTCAACGTGGCGACGGGAGAGGTGGGTGGGACTCAAATCATCACAGAGACGGCCGCTGCCACTCTCACTCCTGGAAAGGGACGACGAGGGAGGAGGAAGAAAGTGGTTCTGGCTTCACAAACTCCGCTGTCTCCTCCTGCACAGGCCGCCTCCCCACCCCCAGAGCAGATGGAGACGATCCTGATAGAAGCTGGTGACAACATCATTCAGGTACGTCTGCGTGCTGCAGCAGAAAAGCTTTGAAAGCAACCAAATCCCCTGTTTTTGTTATTTTCTCCGGCCAGTAGTGATAAACAAATATCCAGTGTTGTGATGAACAGTGTTCATGCTACGTTTCTGGACTTGTAGGGACCAGTGACGTCCTGGGTAAGACTCAGTTGATATTAGGACAGGTGGCAGTCACTCATCGGTCCAGATGTGAGTGAGCATCACAGTGTGACCTCTCTTCTCCTGTGTCTGTATTCGCAGGCTGGTAACAACCTACTGATCGTGCAGAGTCCTGGGCAGCCGGCTATGGTGCAGCAGGTTCAGCTGGTCCAGCCCAAACAGGAATCTCAAATGGTTCAGATCCCGCAGCAGGCACTGAAGGTGGTGCAGGCCGCCTCCGCCACGCTGCCGCCCGTCCCACAGAGACAGTCGGCCCCTACGAGTCTGCAGGTCACTCCGACAGATCCATCGCCAACACAGGTATTAATTTAAAGTTCCACGGTTTTGCTTTAATGTTATTAAAGTATTCATCCATTTTCTCTTCAGTTATAAAAAAAACCCCTCTGACAACATTTTCTCTGCTCAGATCTTCTTCAAAACAGCGTCGGGTGATTGGCAGTCAGTTCTGCTCCAGGACTCCGTGTCCACAACGACGACCCCCACCACGTCGGTCGCCACCACCACGACTTCGCCGCCGGCCTGCACCAAAAGGACGCTGGCGGGGGGGCGGAAGGAAAAGACTCTGGCAAAAATTGCCCCAGCGGGGGGGATGATGGCGTTGAATCCGTCGCAGCTCCCCTCGGCAGCGCAGGCGGTGCAGACGATCAGCATCAACGGGGTCCAAGTTCAGGGAGTTCCTGTCACCATCACCAACGCAGGGGGTGAGTGGATGAGAGCTCGTGTTTCCAAGTGTTGGTTGATTAAAATCAAGAGAATGAGTTATTTCATTTACTCAAGAAAAAGATTCAAACATAAAAACATGGAACCTGAATCATTTCAGTTTTTTCAGTAATCCAGCTAAAAAACCAACAAACAAACCAACAGGTGAGAACTAAAGAAAATGAATTATATAAAAGTAAATATGTACTCCTGCTCTTTCTAAAAACTTTGACAGAAGTTTGAGATCAAATGTTGTCGACCTATAATCACATCATTCATTATTTTTTGGTGTTTGTGAAAAAGGTCGTGGGGACATTTTTTTTTGTCAGTAACAAAGTAATCGTGATAATTCTTCAAAAAAAGAAAAACACAACAGACTGAATTTATATAATAATAAAACATGAACATGAAATACACAACTTGAAAACGTGATGATATAAAAAGTTGCGTGTTCAGTAAGTTCTCATGCATCATATTAACAAATAACTACAAGACCAACTTCTGATTGTCAAGAATCTTTTTGAATAAAAAGATTAAGAATCCTTTCATTTAAATGCAAAGTTCATAAACTGCAGATAGAAACTCCATCTGTTGAGAATATTTTGTCATGTGTCAGTTTCATGTTGTCATTAATCATTGATCAGAGTTTCTGTCCAACATGAAGCCGTCTCTCAGCTGGTCGTCTAATTAGAGGATCTTGGCTGCTGCGTCTCTCACTGTGCGTCTGTCTCTGTGTTTCAGGCCAGCAGCACCTAACGATGCAGGCCATGCAGGGCGGAGGGCTCCAGCTGGCGGCGCAGGGCCAGTCCGCAATCCAAGTCGACCAGACCCTCACTCTGGAGCTGCCCGGTCAGCCCGGAGAGAAGAAGCGACGCATGGCGTGCACCTGCCCCAACTGCAAAGACGCAGACAAGAGGTGACGTCTCTTTAGTTTATAACGATACGATAGATTTTCTAGTCCAGGTTTGTTTTAGGGCTGTGGTTCTGGAAGAAAGTGAATATAATTGTTATATATTATGAAAGATTTGAAAGTTTGACCCCGGAAACGGTTTTACTGAACGTGTTTGTGCGTGCTCGGACACGCTGCAGGCCCGGGGAGGTCGGGAAGAGGAAGCACATCTGTCACGTCCCCGGCTGTGAGAAGACGTTCAGGAAAACGTCGCTGCTCAGAGCTCACGTCCGGCTGCACACCGGCGAGAGACCCTTCGCCTGCAACTGGGTTTTCTGCGGGAAACGTTTCACACGCAGTGACGAGCTGCAGCGGCACGCCAGGACGCACACAGGTGCTGTAGACAAGTTTGTAATTTAAAAAAAAAAATCGTCCGGCGCTTCGGACGTGATCGCCCTCCTCACTTTTTCTGTTTCCCCCACAGGAGACAAGCGCTTCGAGTGCAGCCAGTGTCAGAAACGCTTCATGAGGAGCGATCACCTGACGAAGCATTACAAGACGCACATCAACACCAAGAACCTGTGAGCGGACTGTGCGCTCAGCGTGTTCGCAGACAAACTGTTAGCGGAGCTGCAGAGGGGACGAAGGGAGACTGTGACTTATCCCATAATGGGAAATACTCCAAAAAAACAGTCCCTGTGTCTCCTCTCATTCCTCTAGGACGCTGCGTAGTGTACAGAGAGATCCTTTCCGACGGACTTCAGAGTGACCCAGCAGATTTAATAATAATAGATTATTTTTGTTTTACGTATCCCTCTGGTCCGAGCGGAGGCCAGAACCAGCTACGACTGAACGTAGAAGCGGAGGCTCCAGACGCAAAACTCTGCCTGCTTATTTATGAACTTCTTTGGTAGAAGAATTATTCAGACAACGACACCTACGACCACCGGACTCCAGTCACAGTTTCACAAAGAGTTTCCATCTCTTCGGTTTTGTTTTTTCTTCCCCGCAAATCCTGCTCGACTTTTTGTTTTTCGTGGAAACATCGGGAGCTCTGAGGAATCGTCTGTGAAGAAGCAAAAAAAAAAAAAAAAA